ACATTGTTCATATTGATTGAGAAAGTCGAGTGGGGTGGAGAGGTGACGGAAATGCACTTTTACTGTCAAATTATGGTTTGAGGATTTTGAAATACAAGGAAATTATGGGAACATTATTTGCCTATAAAACATGATTAACTTGAACCTGGAGACGCTCTCTCACAAACACACACACACACACACACACACACACACACACACACACACACACACACGCATGCACACGCACATACAGGTACAGTGGCAGCTGGAAGTATTATGCCCTTGGGCTCCTCTATAGCAGATGGTAATTTCCCTCATCCTGGCTTGTCTTGGAATTTGAAACTTTTCTCTAACAATATCTGTTCCAAACATATTGTCTCAAGTTCTGATACATGGACTTCATCATCAGTCCACAATACTTACATTAACCATGCAGACATGTCACAAGACATGATTATGCAACTTATATACAGTATTGAATACAGTGTAATATACATATACAAGCTCTCAGTGCAAACAAAATCTAATCTAAATAGAAACAGACAATATAAGTGAGTTACCAGGGAGCAGTTTCGGTGTTGCAGAGATTGGAGTTGCAACACTTGCTGGTAATCACATTTCTGGTAAGTCCAAAGTTGACTGAGCCCTCAGCACAGTCTTCATTCAAAACACAAGTTTTCATCTGGATATCAGAAAGTTTTGAACCACCTGCAACAAAAGAGTAGCCTTTGTAAAATGGGCCAGTGCAAAACTGTTCACAATAGAAAAAACAATGCTCTTAAAAAAAAAACATACCTGCATATGAAGTGATTCTCAGCACACTACACTGATATCCCACTGAAGGGCATGTTTTTAATTCGCATGTTGCTGTGCTTCCTGGTAAACACTTATGACAAATCAGGCTGTAGGCTGATAAAACACAAAACAGTTAAACTCAGTTAAAAACAAAATCTACATTTCTTTTCTTCAAGGGGTGGACCAAAGTATTGTAACACCATAACTCTGAAGTAAATTAATCAAAACTACTATTATTATGAGAAATTATAAACACAGATACAAATATGAGTTATACAGTATGAGGCTGGTTGTCATGTGCAGTACTGACATGCATGGGGTTTTTCTTGCTTCTTGTTTCTTTGTTTCTTGTTTTTTCAACTACAACTAAATAGAATAGAGGCTATCTGTGCCCAAACTGCAATTGATGAACAAAGAGGAATAGCAGTAACGAACAGCAAAATAACATGCACGATGTGGACATACTCTCTTTTGACATGTAACCTAAATGACCCATGTCTGCAGCATTTGTAAAGATAAATGTGGTAATTGATAATTACAATCCCTCTTTTATTAAAGATTAAACTGTAAAAAAAACAGATAATAGGACAAAAACTTGCCTTCAGAGAGAAGCACAGCCCCAAAGATCAGAGTAAGGAGATGCATTTTGCAATGGCGGGATGCAAATGAGTTTAGTTTGATCTGTTGCGGCTATAAGTATCCCTCCTGAGAAGGAGTTGTCAGTTTTCTGCATCATCTTATCAGTCAATTGCAGCTTATTACATTTTTGGTGCAATTTCAATTTTCTTATCAAGTGGCTGCTCCATGGCAAACTGACCGTGTTTGCCCCTCACGGAGGAGAGGCTGTGGCAATGGTATGGTGAAACAACATGCAAGCCATTTATTTCAAATGAAAGAAGGCAATTTCAAACAAACTAATGAGGATTTTTATCAGCATGATTATTGTTATGAAGAGGTGGCTGCATTTTTATCCTTTGTTTTGTACAAAAAATGAGTTTTAAATGCTAACTTTGGCGTATGTTGAGACTGTATTGGTTGATAAACTGTGGTGGTCTAAATATTAATTAGTGTTGCAACAAAAAAAAGTTGTGAGAATTACTTGTATTGACACCAATTTTCCTGACCTGTAAACAAAACAGTTTGAGTGAGGCTCCAATTCAGAAAAGTCATAAACATACAGTGGCACACACACACGCACATCATCAAGATGTTCCTGTATGATACAAGTTGGGCACTGAGCACTGCCTCTCTCTGCAGTAGAAATACAGATACCCTTTGCCTAATGTCCAATATTTATATTCTTGCAGTACTTTTACTTCCCTGCATTTTTTGTGCATCCCTGCAAAAAAAGAAACATTGTGTGTACTGTGCTATGCATTCAAAATAGATCAGTCACCTGTCACAGAATACACGTAACACATAACAAATTAAATTAGAGACAATTTTTTCAACTAAATAACCAAAGAATCTGAAGCCCATCTGCTTGTGACTTTTAGTTCCTGTAAATAGTCTGTCCAATCCACAGTATTGGAATACTAAGTAATATTCATATTGCAACAATGCTGTTTTCACAGCAGCCTGCTCCTTTAACAGTCCCCCAGGGCTGCTCCTTGAAATGTCTATGATTGACCGTAAAAAAGATGAAGTACAACACTTACTGACTTATGTCACTGATAAAGCAATTTATATCAGAATCACTTTTATTGGCCAGGTATGTGTGCACATACAAGGAATTTGACTCTGGTTTTACGTTTTTACACTGATTAACAGCATAAATAAACAGAACAAGTTCAACAACAAAAGACAAAGACTTATATACAGTAGAATACAGTGCAATGGTGCAGAGTGCAAAGGATGCTGAACTAAATATTTTACATGCAGGTATCTTTATGTACCTGGGGTAGGTGGATATGACAGTATAAACAGTATGCAAAGAAACAGAATTTTGGAAAATAGGCTAAGTAATGAATGTTTCATTAAGACTCAGAGTGATGGCCAGTGGGTGGAAACTGTTCCTGTGTCTATTATTTAGGCTACATATACAGTGGGTACGGAAAGTATTCAGACCCCTTTAAATTTTTCACTCTTTGTTTCATTGCAGCCATTTGCTAAAATCAAAAAAGTTCATTTTATTTCTCATGAATGTACACTCAGCACCCCATCTTGACAGAAAAAAACAGAAATGTAGAAATTTTTGCAAATTTATTAAAAAAGAAAAAACTGAAATATCACATGGTCATAAGTATTCAGACCCTTTGCTCAGTATTGAGTAGAAGCACCCTTTTGAGCTACTACAGCCATGAGTCTTCTTGGGAATGATTCAGAAATTCTTTTGTAACCTTGGCCAGATCTGTGCCTTGCCACAATTCTGTCTCCTAGCTCCTTGGGCTCATGATTCTCATTTGCTCTGACATGCACTGTGAGCTGTAAGGTCTTATATAGACAGGTGTGTGCCTTTCCTAATCAAGTCCAATCAGTTTAATTAAACACAGCTAGACTCCAATGAAGGAGCAGGACCATCTCAAGGAGGATCAGAAGAAATGGACAGCATGTGAGTTAAATATGAGTGTCACAGCAAAGGGTCTGAATACTTATGACCATGTGATATTTCAGTTTTTCTTTTTTAATACATTTGCAAAAATTTCTACATTTCTGTTTTTTTCTGTCAAGATGGGGTGCTGAGTGTACATTAATGAGAAATAAAATGAACTTTTTTGATTTTAGCAAATGGCTGCAATGAAACAAAGAGTGAAAATTTTAAAGGGGTCTGAATACTTTCCGTACCCACTGTATTTACATGATTAATACATTTGTTAATATTAAAAACACATTTTAAGTCATCATCCCCACTGTTATTGTGAAACTGTCAGATGTGCAGAACACACGTGCAGCGGAAGCAAACTGACTAGTTAAGTCAAAACTAAAACTCAAACAGTGATGGTTGGGCCATCGCAGTCTGCACGTGACGTGTCAGTGTGCACTGCGGCTGAGTCATGCGCAAGCATCATGTGTAGACAACACCATGAAAATTTCTCGTAAATCAGATGATGATTGCCACAAAAGGCTTACCTCCTGTTTCCAGTATATGGCACAATGACTATGACTGAATATGGGCAGGTAGATGTGTTCAGGGCAGAACTCTTATCAGACATGTTAACTTTGGTGCAGATTGGAGAAAGTACACCAAAGTTAGAACAAATTCCTGTTTCTTTGTGAAACATCGCTTTTCAATCACAGGCCACGGACACACCCTTTGACAAAAACTCAAGATTTCTTAATTCCAAATGTAATCACCAATTTTGAAGTTGATCCGATTAATTCCCTAGAAGAAGCTACCAAAAATGGGAAAAAGTTCAATTAAATTAAATTAAATTCAAAATGTCCGACTTCCTTTTGGGTCTGGGGTATGGGTCCAAGAAGCTGTTTTGTACGTCTAGACTCGATACCTTTGCCTTTCCAATGTCTGTGAAACGGGACACCGGGGGCTGCTATGTTGAACTTTTCTAGGGGGCGCTAGATGTAACATGCCCATATCAGATGTAACATTTTACCATTTGGGATGTGTGTGCTGAGTTTCATGAGTTAGCCCACCAAAAATGCAATAAACTGTAAAAACCGATAATGTCTACATTCGGTGTGTCGCCCTGGCAACAGCGTTCAGTGAAAACTAATGAGATTCATAACATTCATTAAAACGTCTTAAGGGTGTTTCATGGGGTGTGTGCAATTGGAGATGATTGGTTGGAGAGAATAATCCTTCCTTCAGTTTCAAGGTCACTGCTCAGACCCTAAATATGCATTGAGGACTGACTAGCTAAGTCAAAACTATAACTCAGGAGCTCATTAAAGAAAAGAAATTTCACACATTTCATTTGTCCTGTGCCTTTGACCCATCCTATATATGGGGTGCCGTTTGTAAAGCAGCTCACGCTGAAAATAACAGCAACATTTTGTCACATTTAGTTTCAAACAATGTTTAAAAAACTGGTATGAATTTTTGAGGGTCACTTTTTTGCACATTTACAACAATATTTGTCAACTTAGAGATATTTTAAATAGTTAAATCCAAATATTAAATGTTACACCTAAATGCTAAATCTTAATGTTGAATATAAATCTAAATCTAAATGTTAAATCTAAATGTTAAATGTTAAATCTAAATGTTTCGGTGAAACTAAATATTTAAGTAATATGTAAATTCAAAATGCCGGTAACCGGAAGTACCAAAATAAAAGCTTGATGAGGTCAGTGTGTGTTTATAGTGTCAAATAATGAATAAAAACCATCTCATCCGGGTAAATGGACTCTTGGACATGGATTGGACTAAAAGTGTGTGTCAAAATAAGTAATTTCATTGGTTACATTTTCGTGTCGTGACCTATCAACACATGGTTCATTTTAATATTCAAATGAGCCATGTTTTGATTGCCACGTGATCACCGCAGTTGCTACCACCAGGCTGTCAATCAAGCTCTCAGCTACAGAGAACGTAACGTGAGTAACGTGAGTAACGTGAGCTAACGTCGGTTGTTGGACTGAAATTCTGAAAATGCTTGTGGTATATTAAGTAGAGATGATGTGAAGATGTATTGAAGAGAAGTCCACTGACACCATCTTGATTGTATATAAAGGTTTATTACAAAAAGGTACAGCATCATTTCAAGCCCCGGGAGCTTGGAGAGCATCCTGCCAAATGAACAACTCTGTCTATATGCGTCGAACATAGGCTTTATATAATGGAATGAAGAAAGGAGGGGGACTGTCCGTGCTCATAAACAACAGGTGGTGTAACGGCGGGCACGTCTGTGTGAAAGAGCGTCTGCAGCCCGGACATCAAGCTCGTCGTCGTCGGATTTCGTCCGTGTTATTTGCCCTGGGAACTTTCCAGTGTTGTCGCCATCACTGTCTATATTCCTCACAGTGGTCTTCATCATCACCATCACTGTTTACATTTATGATGTCCTATTTATTCTCCTGTACAGCACTTTGGTCAACTTTGGTTGTTTTTAAAGTGCTTAACAAATAAAGTTGGATTGGATTGGATTTATATAGGTCTATTGTTTATTCAAGAAAATAGTAAAGAAACATCTGGTTCTAGTACAGATATGTGAGGTAAAACAGGGAGATGGGGGATTTATTAAGATAAAGGTCAGAGGCCATTGAGAGGCCCCTAGCCTAAACATTTCATAGTAAGAATTAACGTTACGACGTTGAACCTCATGTCTTACTAACACTGCATATGTTGAAAAAAATATCACTTGAACTTATAACAAACTGTAACTTAAACATATAGGCCTTCGGATACCACATGCTCATACTCATATGTAGATAGGCAAAGCCCTTTATCCCCAGATAAAAACATTAAGAACAGTTTCTGTATCATGTTTATTAGACCTATGTAATCTGAATTGGAAGGGCACGTTGTCATGAGCTGTATCTTGTATATTTATTATTAGCTATGTGGTATGTGTATGCACCTTTATGTAATCTGGTGGAAAAACATATTCAAATTTAAAAACGGATCATACCAAACAAATATCTGCTTGCGTGTCCCCGTGTATGCAAAGTGTCCTCCTTTTTGATGTGACGGAAATGGCCACCCTAGTAATAGTGAGCACCCTCGGGCTGGCTATAGTGGCTATACAGGTCACAAGTCCCGCACCCTTCATAAAAGTGACACTAAAAACTCAAAGTACTCTTCAAATACAGTTTCTCCAAACGTGTTTATTATTTTAGGTAGTTATTATCACGAAAATCCATGTCCAAGAGTCCATTTCCCCGGATGAGATGGTTTTTATTCGTTATTATTGTGCCTTGCATAAGCAAGCACAATACTACTCTTCCTCGGGCTTAGTTATTGTGCCTTGCATAAGCAAGCACAATACTACTATCCCTCTTGCTTAATTTTCTTATTATTCTTCCGTACGTTTTTCGGCGCGCTACTCCTCCCGGAGCTTTTGTCGCACATACACAAAAAAGGTATCAAAACGTGCGGCTCGGCCGGGAATCGAGTGCTATGACTTTTCTAAGAATTTCGCCAAACGGTTTGCCGATAAATCGCAAAAAACCGGTCCAAAAAATGAATGGGTGTGTATTGCGAGAACCTCCAACCGAAAAAAACTGCCAGAGTGCGTGACATCATCGCTAGAGTGTGGGGAGAGAGAAAAATTTGTCGAAAAATAAATTTGTAAACTGCTGTCATGGCCACAAATTTCACTGTACAGAAATAATTTATAGATAGAAACGTAGGTAAATTCGTTGGGGTCGCAGTGATACCACTGCTGAAGCTGTCAGACAAATAGTTTTGGCGGGAAACGCACTGATGCGCCAGCAACTCCCTCTCACGGCCCCATCTACTCCCATGTTAAAATGGAGAGGAGGATTCTTGAAACACGCTCGTTGAACCTCTTCTCTCTCAATCTCCCCAGGTCACATTTTTTAACTTTAGCCACTGAAACTCGGCAGTGCTATAGTCAACAAGATGACGACGCCCACGGTGTTTTCGGTTTTCATTTCGGTCGTTCCTGGCCATGCTTTTGAGGGGATTCGTTTTAATTGTTTTCTGTCTCTCTGAGGAGTTAGAGACAGAGAGAGAGCGCGCAGCTGCTGTGGGCTCCCCTGATTGCCATGACAACCAAAGCCTGCTCACACACACACACACACACACAGCTAGCTACAGAGAATGACAAGACATTAATAAGCTAGCTAGCTGGCTAGCTAAAGGTAATTAGCAGGTGGCTAACAAACAAACAATTTAAAGCTGAATGATTTTAATATTAACACAAAATAAGTTCAATACACCTTAAATATTTTACCCTACTATGAGCTGTTCCTTAATTTACATTAGCACTCCTTCAGGAGCATAATACAATTAAACACATTAACCAAAGCTAGCACTTAGCTAGCGATTAGCGCTTAGCTAGCGATTAGCATGTAGCTAGCGATTAGCATGTAGCTAGCGATTAGCAGTTAGCTAGCGATTAGCACGTAGCTAGCGATTAGCAGTTAGCTAGCGATTAGCACGTAGCTAAGCGCTAGCTTTGGTTTATGTGTTTATGTGTGCTAGCTCTAGCTAGCTAGCTAAAGAGAATGACATGATATTAATATGCTAGCGCTAGCTAAGGAGGATGACAGGTTATCAATATGCTATAGGGAGGATTACATGGCATTAATAAAAGGTAATTAGCGCACAGCTAGCGATTAGCGGTTAGCACGTAGACATGGTATTAACATATGGGCCAGAGCAAGGCACAATCAAAATTGCTTTAGGAATTTTCTAGTTATTGTGCCTTGCATAAGCAAGCACAATACTATTATTCCCCATACTTATTATAATATTTTATTCTTCCGTACGCTTTTTTCGGCGCGCTTCTTCTCCCGGAGCTTTTGTCGCACGTACACAAAAAAGGTATCAAAACGTGCGGCTCGGCCGGGAATCGAGTGCTATGACTTTTCTAAGAATTTCGCCAAACGGTTCGCCGATAAATCGCCAAAAACCGGTCCAAAAAATGAATGGGTGTGTATTGCGAGAACCTCCAACTGAAAAAAACTGCCAGAGTGCGTGACATCATCGCTAGAGTGTGGGGAGAGAGAAAAATTTGTCGAAAAATAAATTTGTAAACTGCTGTCATGGCCACAAATTTCACTGTACAGAAATAATTTATAGATAGAAACGTAGGTAAATTCGTTGGGGTCGCAGTGATACTACTGCTGAAGCTGTCAGACAAATAGTTTTGGCGGGAGACGCACTGATGCGCCAGCAACGCCCTCTCACGGCCCCATCTACTCCCATGTTAAAATGGAGAGGAGGATTCTTGAAACACGCTCGTTGAACCTCTTCTCTCTCAATCTCCCCAGGTCACATTTTTTTAACTTTAACCACTGAAACTCGGCACTGCTATAGTCAAAAAGATGATGACGCTCACGGTCTTTTCGGTTTTCATTTCGGTCGTTCCTGGCCATGCTTTTGAGGGGATTCGTTTTAATTGTTTTCTGTCTCTCTGAGGAGTTAGAGACAGAGAAACGTGCGCAGCTGCTGTGGGCTCCCCTGATTGCCATGACAACCAAAGCCTGCTCACACACACACACACACACACAGCTAGCTACAGAGAATGACAAGACATTAATAAGCTAGCGCTAGCTAGCTAAAGATAATTAGCAGGTGGCTAACAAGCAAACAATTTAAAGCTGAATGATTTTAATATTAACACAAAATAAGAACAATACACCTTAAATATTTTACCCTACTATGAGCTGTTCCTTAATTTACATTAGCACTCCTTCAGGAGCATAATACAATTAAACACATTAACCAAAGCTAGCACTTAGCTAGTGATTAGCGCTTAGCTAGCGATTAGCATGTAGCTAGTGATTAGCAGTTAGCTAGCGATTAGCACGTAGCTAGCGATTAGCAGTTAGCTAGCGATTAGCACGTAGCTAAGCGCTAGCTTTGGTTTATGTGTTTATGTGTGCTAGCTCTAGCTAGCTAGCTAAAGAGAATGACATGGTATTAATATGCTAGCGCTAGCTAAGGAGGATGACAGGTTATCAATATGCTATAGGGAGGATTACATGGCATTAATAATCTAGCGCTAGCTGGCTAGCTAAAGATAATTAGCAGGTGGCTAACAAACAAACAATTTAAAGCTGAATGATTTTAATATTAACACAAAATAAGTTCAATACACCTTAAATATTTTACCCTACTATGAGCTGTTCCTTAATTTACATTAGCACTCCTTCAGGAGAATAATACAATTAAACACATTAACCAAAGCTAGCGCTTAGCTAGCAATTAGCGGTTAGCACTTAGCTAGCAATTAGCGCACAGCTAGCGATTAGCTGTTAAATAGCGGTTAGCACGTAGACATGGTATTAACATATGGGCCAGAGCAAGGCACAATCAAAATTGCTTTAGGAATTTTCTAGTTATATTTATTATTATTCTTCCGTACGTTTTTCGGCGCGCTTCTTCTCCCGCAGCTTTTGTCGCACATACACAAAAAGGTATCAAAACGTGCGGCTCGATGAGGACATTAGTGCTATGACTTTTCTAAGAATTCCGCCAAACGGTTCGCCGATAAATCGCCGAAAACCGGTCCAAAAAATGAATGGGTGTGTATTGCGAGAACCTCCAACTGAAAAAAACCCCCAGAGTGCGTGACATCATCGCTAGAGTGTGGGGAGAGAGAAAAATTTGTCGAAAAATAAATTTGTAAACTGCTGTCACCGCCACAAATTTAACTCTACAGAAATAATTTATAGATAGAAACGTAGGTAAATCTGTTGGGGTCGCAGTGATACCACTGCTGAAGCTGTCAGACAAATAGTTTTGGCGGGAAACGCACTGATGCGCCAGCAACTCACTCTCACGGCCCCATCTACTCCCATGTTAATTTTAGAGGAGCAATCTTCAAAAACGCTTGTTGAACCTCTTCTCTCTCAATCTCCCCAGGTCACATTTTTTAACTTTTGCCACTAAAACTCGGCAGTGCTATAGTCAACAAGATGACGACGCCTACGGTGTTTTCGGTTTTCATTTCGGTCGTTCCTGGCCATGCTTTTGAGGGGATTCGTTTTAATTGTTTTCTGTCTCTCTGAGGAGTTAGAGACAGAGAGCGAGCGTGCGCAGCTGCTGTGGGCTCCCCTGATTGCCATGACAACCAAAGCCTGCTCACACACACACACAGCTAGCTACAGAGAATGACAAGGCATTAATAAGCTAGCGCTAGCTGGCTAGCTAAAGATAATTAGCAGGTGGCTAACAAGCAAACAATTTAAAGCTGAATGATTTTAATATTAACACAAAATAAGTTCAATACACCTTAAATATTTTACCCTACTATGAGCTGTTCCTTAATTTACATTAGCACTCCTTCAGGAGCATAATACAATTAAACACATTAACCAAAGCTAGCACTTAGCTAGCGATTAGCGGTTAGCACTTAGCTAGCGATTAGCGCAGAGCTAGCGGTTAGCACGTAGACATGGTATTAACATATGGGCCAGAGCAAGGCACAATCAAAATTGCTTTAGGAATTTTCTAGTTATTGTGCCTTGCATAAGCAAGCACAATACTACTCTTCCTCGGGCTTATTATAATTATTAAACTTATTATTATTCTTCCGTACGTTTTTCGGCGCGCTTCTTCTCCCGGAGCTTTTGTCGCACATACACAAAAAAGGTATCAAAACGTGCGGCTCGATGAGGACATTAGTGCTATGACTTTTCTAAGAATTTCGCCAAACGGTTTGCCGGTAAATCGCCAAAAACCGGTCCAAAAAATGAATGGGTGTGTATTGCGAGAATGTTCAACCGCTAGAGTGCGTGACATCATCGCTAGAGTGTGGGGAGAGAGAAAAATTTGTCGAAAAATAAATTTGTAAACTGCTGTCATGGCCACAAATTTCACTCTACAGAAATAATTTATAGATAGAAACGTAGGTAAATCCGTTGGGGTCGCAGTGATACTACTGCTGAAGCTGTCAGACAAATAGTTTTGGCGGGAAACGCACTGATGCGCCAGCAACGCCCTCTCACGGCCCCATCTACTCCCATGTTAATTTTAGAGGAGCAATCATGAAACACGTTCGTTGAACCTCTTCTCTCTCAATCTCCCCAGGTCACATTTTTTAACTTTAACCACTGAAACTTGGCAGCGCTATAGTCAACAAGATGACGACGCTCACGGTCTTTTCGGTTTTCATTTCGGTCGTTCCTGGCCATGCTTTTTAGGGGATTCATTTTAAATGTTTTCTGTCTCTCTGAGGAGTTAGAGACAGAGAGAGAGCGTGCGCAGCTGCTTTGGGCTCCCCTGATTGCCATGACAACCAAAGCCTGCTCACACACACACACACACACACACACACACAGCTAGCTACAGAGAATGACAAGACATTAATAAGCTAGGTAGCTACCTAGCTAAAGATAATTAGCAGGTGGCTAACAAGCAAACAATTTAAAGCTGAATGATTTTAATATTTACACAAAATAAGAACAATACACCTTAAATATTTTACCCTACTATGAGCTGTTCCTTAATTTACATTAGCACTCCTTCAGGAGCATAATACAATTAAACACATTAACCAAAGCTAGCACTTAGCTAGCGATTAGCGGTTAGCTAGCGATTAGCGCACAGCTAGTTATTAGCGCTTAGCTAGCGATTAGCACGTAGCTAAGCGCTAGCTTTGGTTAATGTGTTTATGTGTGCTAGCTCTAGCTAGCTACCTAAAGAGAATTAGAGGGTATTAGAAGACTAGCTAATTAATTAAAATGCTTTGCTTGCTAGAGAGGACAAGCTACTAATGTTCTAGTGCCATATAGTTAGACAGAACAAGGTATGAATGTGCTAGCACTCCCTACCTAGAGAGGACAAACGATTACTTTGCTAATTAAACGTCACAAAAGACACTGAAATTCTTAATTAGCCATCTATTTCAACTTGTTACACATGACACAAGTAATACAGATTCAGTAATGTAATAAAACATCAAGTTAGATTTATTTAGTGAGGAAGAACTCAGACTGTTGTAACTGCCTATGACTGCACAGTAAGAATAGTTTTCTTTCTTAATTATGTATTATTTATTAATATAAATATTGTTATTCATATTATTGAAAGCATTACTTATTATTGTTGTTATTATTATTACTATTATTATCATTATTATTATAACTACATACTTATTATTCCCACCATTGTGGTTATTACTTATTTAGTTACTTTAGCAATTTTAATTAAACCATGACGCTTCCTGCATTATCCCAGGACAATATTATGCCAAACTCCATTTAAGAAATACCATATATTAACAATTATTTGCGCTTACATAAAAGCACATAACTGTAGAAACACAAGAAAAAACTCATCATATCTCAACAGTCTTCTTGTTAATTCGGCATCAATATAATACATAAATACCAACTTTTTGGCCGACTTTGTCGCATCAACTCGTTATCAGCCTCACTATTTCAGTGGGAGAAGACCGTGGCAATAGATGAGAAAAACAAGATTTGTCATTAAAATACGTGGTTGTTAGTGGATCACGCAGACGCCGAATTAAACATGGGTGTCTCCCCTCATTGTACTGTAAACTACTCGGCAATGTCAGTAATGTATGGGCCAGTGTCACGGGCCAGAGCAAGGCACAATCAAAATTGCTTTAGGAATTTTCTAGTTTTCTTATTATTCTTCCGTACGTTTTTCGGCGCGCTACTCCTCCCGGAGCTTTTGTCGCACATACACAAAAAAGGTATCAAAACGTGCGGCTCGGCCGGGAATCGAGTGCTATGACTTTTCTAAGAATTCCGCCAAACGGTTTGCCGGTAAATCGCCGAAAACCGGTCCAAAAAATGAATGGGTGTGTATTGCGAGAACCTCCAACTGAAAAAAACCGCCAGAGTGCGTGACATCATCGCTAGAGTGTGGGGAGAGAGAAAAATTTGTCGAAAAATAAATTTGTAAACTGCTGTCATGGCCACAAATTTCACTCTACCGAAATAATTTATAGATAGAAACGTAGGTAAATTCGTTGGGGTCGCAGTGATACCACTGCTGAAGCTGTCAGACAAATAGTTTTGGCGGGAAACGCACTGATGCGCCAGCAACACCCTCTCACGGCCCCATCTACTCCCATGTTAATTTTAGAGGAGGAATGTTTAAAGGAGCTCGTTGAACCTCTTCTCTCTCAATCTGTCCAGGTCACATTTTTTAACTTTAACCACTGAAACTCGGCAGCGCTATAGTCAACAAGATGACGACGCTCACGGTGTTTTCGGTTTTCATTTCGGTCGTTCCTGGCCATGCGTTCGAGGGGATTCATTTTAATTGTTTTCTGTCTCTCTGAGGAGTTAGAGACAGAGAGAGAGCATGCGCAGCTGCTGTGGGCTCCCCTGATTGCCATGACAACCAAAGCCTGCTCACACACACACACACACACACACACACACACACACAGCTAGCTACAGAGAATGACAAGGCATTAATAAGCTAGCTAGCTGGCTAGCTAAAGATAATTAGCAGGTGGCTAACAAACAAACAATTTAAAGCTGAATGATTTTAATATTAACACAAAATAAGTTCAATACACCTTAAATATTTTACCCTACTATGAGCTGTTCCTTAATTTACATTAGCACTCCTTCAGGAGCAAAATACAATTAAACACATTAACCAAAGCTAGCACTTAGCTAGCGATTAGCGCTCAGCTAGCGATTAGCATGTAGCTAGCGGTTAGCTAGCGATTAGCACGTAGCTAGCGATTAGCGGTTAGCTAGCGATTAGCACGTAGCTAAGCGCTAGCTTTGGTTTATGTGTTTATGTGTGCTAGCTCTAGCTAGCTAGCTAAAGAGAATGACATGATATTAATATGCTAGCGCTAGCTAAGGAGGATGACAGGTTATCAATATGCTATAGGGAGGATTACATGGCATTAATAATCTAGCGCTAGCTGGCTAGCTAAAGATAATTAGCAGGTGGCTAACAAGCAAACAATTTAAAGCTGAATGATTTTAATATTAACACAAAATAAGTTCAATACACCTTAAATATTTTACCCTACTATGAGCTGTTCCTTAATTTATATTAGCACTCCTTCAGGAGCATAATACAATTAAACACATTAACCAAAGCTAGCACTTAGCTAGCGATTAGCGCATAGCTAGCAATTAGCGCTTAGCTAGCGATTAGCGGTTAGCTAGCGATTAGCACATAGCTAGTGATTAGCACGTAGCTAAGCGCTAGCTTTGGTTAATGTGTTTATGTGTGCTGGCTCTAGCTAACTAGCTAAAGAGAATGACATGATATTAATATGCTAGCGCTAGCTAAGGAGGATGACAGGTTATCAATATGCTATAAGGAGGATTACATGGCATTAATATGCTAGCGCTAGCGTGCTAGAGAGCAAGACATGGTATTAACATATGGGCCAGAGCAAGGCACAATCAAAATTGCTTTAGGAATTTTCTAGTTTGACACTATAAACACACACTGGCTGCGTTTCATTAGTCGTTCAACTTGCCCTCGGGGGAATCCCCGCCGCCATCATAAGTGTTGTTCCAATTGTCTGTAAACTGAAGTTCACTAAGTGAGATGGACCCTCGGAGGGCTGAGGGAGCGAGTGAACAATGATGGTCATTCCGAGGTGGATATCACCCACAATGCATTGCAGTTTACGTCATTGCCGCTATAACGCCGACGGCTACCAATGAGTAGACTCCAAGGGCAAGTGCGTTTCATTTAAATCCCCCGCTCCTCCCCCCGCACACTTTCCCTCCACGCCCCAAGTGGCCTCCGTGCGACGTATGCTGTTACGTCATACCAAGGGCTGAGGGTAAGTGAACGAGGGGAAGCGGAACTACTAATGAAACGCAGCCACTGACCTCCTCGAGCTTTTATTTTGGTACTTCCGGTCACTGGCATTTTGAATTTGCATATTAGTTAAATATTTACTTTCACCCGAAACATTAGGATTTAATATTTAGATTTAGATTTAGATTTAGATTTAACATTTAGATTTAGATTTAGATTTAACATTTAACATTTAGGTGTAACATTTAATATTTGGATTTAACTATTTAAAATATCTCTAAATTGACAAATATTGTTGTAAATGTGCAAAAAAAGTGACCCTCAAAAATTCATACCAGTTTTTTAAACATTGTTTGAAGCTGAATGTGACAAAATGTTGCTGTTATTTTCAGCGTGAGCTGCTTTTACAAACGGCACCCCATAATACTTATATAATAAGAGCAGGCAGCCGTGGGTGATCAGGGAGCTAAATATGAATTGATGTGGTGCTCCAATCAGAAATGTCTATGTTCACAATCACTAAGTTGCCCTCAAACTATCAACAAAGCGGGATATATGCAAGTAGTAGAGGCAAACTATTGTGAAAAAGACATTCACTTGTCTCTGTCAGTCTTAATAACCGCCTTTCAGTGATAACAGTATTCAATAAGTATCCTAGAAAACAACTGTGAAAACAACATTTGTGTGCTGCTGCTATAGCTAGTTATGGTAGCCTCCATCTTAGCTTGCATGTTATTTTCCTAGGTAATAGATGTAACTTCATCATGGATGGAATTAAAAGGAAAATCTGTCAATTGATGACACACTTATTAATAGTGACGCCAGAGATGGGGGAATCAAGTCGCATTTAAGTTGCACACACAGTGACTTGAGACTTATCATCAAGACTCAACTTGGACTCAGGAACAATCTTAATTTTATTTATTTGGCACATTAACATTCAAGATTTCCCTTATGGAGTAAAAACATTCAAAAATACATTTCCTCTGAATGATGAAATTAA